CTGGTGGTACCGCTGCAGGAGGCGCGGGTCCCCCGCGATCCTCTCCAGCGCCGCCTGCATGGAGCGCGCGGAGCCGTCGGGCACCTGGAAGGCCGCCGTCAGCCTGTACTCTTCCTCCCACGCTGGGAACTCTTCCTCCCCTCCTGGGGCCATCATGTTGGCCTGCGTTAGGTTCAAGTAGTAGGTCACCATATCCTGCAGGGAGGGAAGAACAGGAGGACAAATCGGGGGAGGCTCAGCCCCCGAGTGAAATGCTTGGCTGGGACGCAGCCAGCCCCCTCTCCCAGACGCGGGGGTGCAGCACCAGGGGCGAGCTGCCTCCCAGCAGGCGCTTTGACCGAGGTGTGACCCTGGGGACAGGCACCTCAGGCGAGAGCCTCCAGGACTTGCCACAAAAGCATCCCGTTCTGTAAGGGATGGGTTTTCTCTGCTTGACTTTTATCTCCAAACACCAGGGAACCTGAGCCTGGCCCGCTTCAAAATCATTCTGTCACTTACTGCCAACACTGTCCGCTGGCAGAAGCCCGGGTTGGAGTAGTGCTACTGAGCAAAGTGATTTTCTCAACTGTGAGTAACTAAAGTTTTTCACAACTTCTGTTCTCAGCCTCTTGCCCTTCTCTCCACCAGCCCCCCCTGCCTCCCACGTGCATTCTACACGCCTCTCTCATGCTATGAACGGGTGCACAGGGCAGCTACGGAGCCGCTTTCTCCGTTGCAAAGAAAGGCACAAACACCCCACCCTCCACTCGCTGCACACAAGAGACAGAGGGAACAGAAGCTGCCCCTACAATTCACCTAAATTCAGATCCATTGCAAATGAATCAGTTTAGCGACTCGGGGGACCCAAATCATTTTCTACATGGTTCAAAGTTTTTGGAGGGGGTTTGACAAGTCTGTTAGTCCTCGAAGTGAAGTTCTGCAATCCGCATGACCTGGGTAGTAAAGCAAGTGTCAAAGGAGATGCTAAAGACATGAAGGACACGACAAAACCTGTCCTGCGCTGCCCTGGGAGCTCATCCCAGCAGCGGGTCCGGGCCAGCTGGCCGCGGGCGCCTTGCCTTGACTCTTGCAAAACCTTTGTGCCAGACAGGCGGCTGGAACAGCCCGGCTGAGGGCTCTCCTAGGCAGCCACTTGGTCCCGCCCGTTAAACCAGCAGCTAAAGCACTCCTCCGAACGGCAGCACGCAGGGTCCCCTACCAACACCTGAAGGGTGTCTGGATCGTAGTCGACCACCCGGATCCCAGGGTTGTTGGCTCCATTGCTCACTCCAGGTAACGTTGTTTTCCAGGGAGTCACTCCAGGGGCCAGGAACATGACATTGACTGGAGAACCTTAACAGACAGGCAGAACAAACCCATGAGTGGGAGACCTTGGCTCGTATCACACCCTGTCCCCGCTGCAGGGAGCGCCCCAGGAACCGATGGCACTGCAGAGCGCGGCTTCGTCACCGGCCCCAGTTACACCAGCGCACGCACGAAGATCAGCGCGTTGGGCAGCACCAGGGATCGACCGCAGGACGGCTGCAGCTGAGAACGGGCTTTCTGCTGCTGGCGAAGAGCCCTGCAGCGAGGGTGCACAAGAGCCCCACGCTTCGCAGAGAGCCAGAGCACTACCCTAACCCCAAGCGAAGGTCCGTCACCGCTCCCTTACGTCTCAGCTGGTGTCCAAACCCCACCGTGAGGGAGCAGGCAAGAAGTTGCAAGGCACTGAGGGGAAACGACAAAATTTGAGGGTAAGCAGGAAGGAGGGATGGAGCTACAGGCTGGGGGTGGAGATCAGCACCACTGCTGTCACACGTTGACCAAAGCATTTCACAAGCCTCTTCTGGCCTCTCCGCCGCCTTCAGCCAACAGCCTCTGAAAACTCTCACCAACGGCGACTTCCAGGGGGTCGGCAGGGCTCCCACGCAATGCTGGGGCGGCCAGAGCCGTACCTGTGTCACTGTAGAACATCCGGAAGCTGTCGGTGTGGTGGTGCCCAAAGAACTGCGCAGCGATCACCCGGTGGTGCTTCCGCACGATCCTCAGGTATCGGTCGTTAAAGCCGCGCCGGAACCAGGCCTTGCCTCGCTTCTTCTCGAAGAAGCCAGGAGGGACGTGCCCCACGAGGTAGACCTGCAGAAGCAAGAGTGGTGCTGAACGCGCAGCCCACGCTTCCCGCGGGGCGCTGCCTTGCTGCGACTGCACAGAGGGAGGAGCAGGAGCAAGAAGAGCTTCAGGGCTGGGAGAAGCCCTCTGCAAAGTTTGTTTGTTCCCTTCTTTTAATACCATTTCATCTGCTCTGGACGCGTTGGTCAGTGTTTCTTCCAGCCACTGGAACTGGCCTCCAGGATCTTCCTCACCAGCCGTCTCGTTGTTCTGGTCGTAGTACAGATTGGTATTGAGGACAACCACTCGCCCCCTCGTCCTTGGGCCGGGCAGCTTCTCGGTGTAGAAAGCTCCTGAAAAATGCAACCGACAGGGAAAGAAAAAAAAAAGGTCTGGCCACGCTGGCTGCTGTGACCCCAGATCCCTTTGCTTCCACCCCTCCGCTCTCCTGGGCACTAGCCACAGCAGAGTCGTCGTCCGGACACGGTGCCAGCAGTGCTCTGACCGCTCCGGGACGGGGGTTTGGAGAGACTCTCCCTGCTCTGTGCCTCTGGTCGTGCTTGTGACTCCCCAGGTGAGGGGGGACCCTGCGTGGGGGCAGTGTGCAGCACCAGGAGCTGGGCTGTTCCACAGAGCCACAGTGCTGCCCGCACCAGTAGCCTTCTTAAAACATCTTTGTCCTTCCACTGCATCTCACCACTGCAGCCTCTGTAGGGACACTTTTCAGTAACTTGAGGAAAGCAGGAAAGACTAAAGCATAAAGAAATTTTTCTTCTCGCAAGCAGGAGAACTCAGTGCCAGAAATCAGCGTTAAATTGGACCCTTCTCTCCAAATACATACTGTTGCTCTGAGCATATAAGCAAGGAAAACCACTCTGGTATTCTCCTAACCACCCCATCTCCCCAGAGTGCTGCCAGCGTGAGCCAGCAGGGCCACACCTGCTCTGAAAAGAGGAATGGAAGCGTCATTCAGCCACGGACGCCACAGTTCAGCTGTTTGGTTGTAGATCCTGTGCTCCTTCCCTGGAAACTGGTTCTTGGGGTGGAAGTCATGATTGCCCATCGCTGCGTAGACTTTAGTACCTAGAGCCAGCGAAAAGGAGGCGCGGAGGCATCCCTGCTTGCCACGAGAGCTCCTCAGCACCAAAGCTCCCCAGGCACTCGCAGACAGCGTGGCTTGAGAGCTTTGCAAAAGCGAATCATCCACCCACAGCCATGGGGCGGCATGGACTGGGAGTCCAACACTGCACAGACTGTCCCTCCTCGGGACAAGCCACCCCAGAGCCACGGTTTCACAGACCTCTCGGGGAGCTTCTGCCATCAGTAACACTCCTTCCCCCACTGCTGACACGGGTTAAGCGTGAGGAAATCTTGCAGCCTTTTCTGTCTTAATGACTAATTACAGAAACGTTTATTTTCCTCTCTTCTGAGTGAGTTAACCTGAAACAACGAGTGCACTAGCCTCAAACAATGAGTGTGCATCAGACACCTCAATTCAGGCATGCCTCATGCCACACAGCAACTAGGAAGAGGACAAACAAGTCCCAGGGACCAGAGCCCTTCCATGCCTTTTTCCCCTTCCCAGTTCGTCATTACTCCACCCTGCTAAACTCTCCCCACAAGCTCTGTGCCCACCTTCCCTCTCATCCCCCCACATCCTACCTGGAAATGTCTCTCTTATCAGAGAGGTCAGATTTTCTATTATGTGCAGAACCTTTTCTTCTCCAAGCTTCTCATTGGGGACGTGAGGAGTATCATCTCTAGAAAGAGAAAAGCAGCACAGCCACTGTGACAAGTCACTTGTGATAAGCAAGGCAGAGAAACTTGCTCACTTCCCTTTGTGCCTCGTAGAAAATAAAGTTGAAGCTTTTGGGCGCAGGACCTTTTCGGTTGTATTTTCTCCCCCCCATCCCTCAAGGGACGGGGTGGGGGTGAGCAAGCGGCTGTGGGGGGCTTTCCTGCTGGCTGGGGGGCTCAAACCACGACACCAAGGCACCGAAGGAGTTTCAAGGAATTGTCCAAAGGGAAGACAGGCTCCACTTTATGCTACTGTGAAAAACCTACATGCACGTGTACCAAGCGGAGTCTCACTCTGCCCCAGCCCATTTAACAGACAATAAATCTGACGGGAAATGTTGCAAGGAACGGCATTCTGCAATCTCAGGTCAACATCTGACCAGCAATAGTGAAGCAAAGCTGTTTGCACAGCTATTCGAACAGCAGAAAACCAGCTCTTGTTACAAGGAGCAGAGGAATGCCTCCAGCCGGGCAGTGATCACCGGGGTCTGCCTCCGGAGGCGCGGCAGGCACACGCGCTTCCATGTTTTCACCAATACGCTTCATGGCATTTGTAGGTGACGCTGGGCTGTCAACAAGCCCATCAAAGAGGAAGATCAAAACTCAAAACGGTGTCAAAGGACTGGGGGAAATAGTTTGAAGAAAAATGAAAAATCAACATAAAGTCATAAGGAGCAATAACTACTTCCAAGTGGGAACCATCATTTGCAGAGACAGCAAATGAAAACATGGGGGCAGGCAACAGCCAGGACTGGGGGTTACGGCAGGTTACAGGCTGATGTTGCACCTCCAGAAGAAAAGCAAGCATTGCAAGAGGACACCTGCACTTACAATAACTATGTAAAATAAAGCTTTTACTGCCTGCGAGTGCTGTTGAGGCCTCCTGAGGAAGAGGGCACCCACTTCTGGAGACCATACTAGGAGAAAACGTGTTCTATTTGGGGAGGTTCTTCATATTTCTGAAGCAAAACAGCTCTTCCTCGAGAGAAGCCTCCCAGGTGCCTCTTTATGGCTTGAAGAGGTGCCACAGGCCTGCCTTGCAATGCTCTCCCCCCACCGCCTCCAACAGGCAGGGCTTGGAAAGAGCACGTCCCATTCCTGGAGCACTTCGGGTGCTCGGAGTTTGCGTGACGTCAGGCAGGGCTGGCAACAACCACACAGAAAAGGGAGGACGATGAACTGTGATCCTTTCCTGACCTTATGTTTCTCACTCCTGGGGCTTGTTGGGAGCCTCTGGACGGTGTGGAGAGGCCTCGTTGCTGTCACGCTCTCCCCCCACGCCTACGTTTTGCATCGCAAGGCGCATCCTTACCTCCCCTCTCCCAAACGGTTACCTCGGAAAGAGCCCTGGATGCCCCCACAAGCTCCGTACGCCCCGGCCCCCCGCCTGTCCCTT